AACTGGAAAGTGACCTGAGATGACTTGATGTGAACTGGAGCTATAGAAATAAACTGAATAGAGCAAACCTCCTTTTTTAATTAAAATAATCACTATTACTTGCATAAATATAAATGATAAACATTGATGCTTCTCAAATAAAGTTTTTATTGCTGCTGGCTACATTCCCATGACTCATTGCTTCTCAGTGTGGATTGATCGATCCTTCACAGCCATCGGGGAAGATGGTGCATAAACTGAGATTAAAAATCAATATGTTTAGCTTTCTTTAACTTAGATTAAAGTTCAAAGACGTTAATCTGTGAGGATGTAGCTTTGTTAGATTAAATATCTGCTCCGTTCTAAAGATTTTACAGTTTTATTAAAAGAAACGTAGACGTTAGCATAAATGAAACACAGCCACGCGGTTCACTGCAGGTTTCTTTATAAAAGATGGCGTCTCATGTGTTCTTCATCATCATCATCTTCATCATCCGACATTTCACTACCGACTCCTGAAACCCAATCGTCTCGTATGCGGCGCCGTTTGTCAAAAATAAGCAGCAATATTTATGGTTATTTAGAAAAAAAAATAAGGGCTTATTTTTTTTAGCTCATTTTTTCACTTTGTAATTCATTAATTTATAAAAGTCTAACTTTGTTTAATAAATATTTAGTTTGCAAAATAACTATTTAACAAAGTCAGATTAGTATAAATGAATGAATTAAAACAATAAACCTTATTTTTCTCTAAATAACCATAAATATTGCTGCTAATTTTTGACATCTTTCCAAATGAAAGTCACCAAACCAGCTTAAAGTGGCTGATTTTCTCCAGAGGCCCCTGAAGGCATCATACGTCACAGTTTAGTGTTCATGGTTTCAGTGCTGACTGACTTTAAATTACATCCATCAATCAAAGTCATAAAAAAAAGCTGAAAAACGCTTAAATACGTTAAAATAAAAATAAAAGCAGCAGAGTTTAGAGAGAAGCTAGTGGACATCACCCACATCAGTGGTTTACCCCCCCCCCCCATTTAAAAATCACATCAGATTAATAATCCCCTAATTTCCAACAGATTTTTTTTAGCACTGCACACTTTTCCTAAAGGATCAAAAACACACAGAGGTAAAAATGTAAGGCATCGGGTTGTGACTCCTCCCCTCACGGCGGCAGATGGCGGGTCGTCTGATCCCGCTTTGTCTCTGCGTTCGTTCACAGCATCATTCAACAACATGGCGGCCAGAGAGCGTCCGCCCCCGTGGGGGAGGAAACTTCGACGGCGCCTCGCAGACAATCTGACGTTCTTCCCTGGTCCCGCTTCTCTAGCAGAGATCAGAGACGTAATCAAAGTCCCCGAAGCTCTCCTGGTCTCTGCGGGAGAGCGTGCGCGGCTCCCGCGGGGGCGTCAGCGCCGGGGGCTCCATGGTGAACTCTTCGTCGAAGTTGCTGACGTCTTCCTTGCCGCGGATAGAGGGGACAAAGGGAGGCGGGACCTTCTTCTGCAGCAAAGCCTCCCAGTCCACGTTCTGACGGAGGAGAGCGGCGTTAAGGAGGAGAGCAGCTCATTGGACGCTCAGTCTGACGTGGACTTACTCTGAAAAATGGCTGCTTCTTCACTTCCTCTGCATCCTTCTCCCCGGATCCCAACCGTCGCTCCGGATTCCTCCGTAAGAGCTGCAGACAACAAGCGACCAATCACAGCGTCCGTTAAAACCAACAAACCGCATCACAGAGAATCGACTTCTGCTTCATTCTCTGACACCTTCCCTAAACATGGCCGTTGCTATGGTAACCAAACCTGCAGCCTTTATGGTTCTTACTCGTCTCATGATGCCGATGGCCTCCGTGGAGAGGAAGCGGGGGTAGCGGACTTCGTCGTTCACGATGCTGTCGAACACTTCCTCTTCATCATCACCAGGAAACGGCGACTAGAGAAACGAAACGGCGGTTAGATTAACATGGCCGCCATGAGGAGGGAGTAGAAACGTGCTTCGCTGGACGTTGATCTGGTCCGTCTGTAAAACAGCCTCTACTAGTGAACAGCATCACTAAATGCTCGCACCAGGAGGAGGAGGAGCCTGAACTCCAGTTGATGCTTCTAAATACTAAAAAGGAGAACAAATAAAATATCTTATTTTTTTAAATTTGTCTCTTTTTTTCCACCAGGATTGAAGCAACATTCCCTAAAAACAGTCGCTTCTCTACATCAACGTCTTTGTCCAGTTTTCCTCCTTTCAAACAGAGAGGTTTGCTCACTTCCTGTTCCCTGAGCCAATCAGACGAGTGTTTCCATGGTTACCCTGTTTTCTGAGAGTAAAAAGGCAGAAGGAGCCAATCAGCATCTGGTCTGAGGTTGGTTCCAGTGTCGTTAACGTTTCTGGCTCTGGAGGCCGTGACATCATCACTGACCCCTCACCCCCCCACCATGGACTGTTCTCCCTGCTGCCCTCTGGGAAGAGGCTTCCCAGCATTCAATGCAGGACCAGCAGGTTCTGCAGCAGCTTCTTCCCCACCGCCATCACACTGATGAACTGATGAGGAAACTGAATCATGTCTCAGACTCTGCATCTCACTGATAAAACCAACTGCTTATTTGCATCATTTATATTAATGCTCTGAACTTGCAGATCTATGCAGGTTTTTTTGCTTCATGTTTTTTCTCCCAAACTGTTTATATTTGATCACTGCTGAACTTTAAAGAATGAAAATGTTCATTTAAAGTCTGAAAGCTGCAGTAAGTGAAATTTCATTTTGTAAACACTCTGTCTTTGCGTTCACTGCGACACCTACGCAGACGACCTGGTTTCAAAGTATAAATCACATCAATCAGTCTGAGGATGTTAGATAAATCTGAACCTTTCTTCTTGCACAAAGTGCCTCCTTCTCAGCTTCCAGAAACTCTTGACCCAAAGAAAAGGAGCCAAACCTCATTAATTAGAGAAACTTTATCAGAAATGTGAGCAAATGAAGTCTGTTTAGAAAAGATCTGCTTTGAGGTGAATCCATGGAAGGAATGAGATATTCCAGCCAGAGGAGCAGCTGCACAGCCGGAGCAGACAGAGTCCTTCCTGCCTTCATTAAGCTTTAGTTTCTGAGCCCATCGGCTCCAAGCAGTGACCCGTTCTCACCTCCCCCACCAGCATTTCATAGATGAGGACCCCGAGCCCCCACCAGTCCACGGCTCTGGTGTAAGACGTGTCCGTCAGGACCTCTGGGGCCAGAAACTCCGGCGTCCCACAGAACGTGCTGGTCCGGTCCCCAAAGCCCATCCCTGCAACCAGAAAGGGAAAATAAAGGGTGACTCTGACCTCTGACCTCTGACCTGTGACCCTGACTGTAACGTCCAGCCCACCTTCTTTACACAGCCCAAAGTCTGCGATCTTCACGTAGCCGTCGGTGTCCAGCAGCAGGTTATCAAGCTTCAGGTCTCTGGGAGCAAAGGGAAGAAGAACAGACCTTTCCTCACACAAAGTTTCTAACAACAGTTTCTATTCCGGCTCTGCAGCTTCTAGGAGCGGCTCTATAATCCAGAGAATCAAATCAGCTCCAGAAGCTTTGAGCCAAAGCTCTGAGGACGTTCCGGATCAGACGTGTGGCGACGCGTCACTCACCTGTACACAATCTTATGGTCATGAAGGAACTGGAGTCCAAGAACAACGCAGGCAGCATAGAAGCTGGAAGCAAAGGAACAACCAAAGCTAATCAGAGCTCCAAACATCAGCTCCTCCACCAGCTGCTGTCTCAGCTGTTCCATTCATTCACACTATATTCTCTCCAGAACCGCGTGAACTTAAGGTAAAGACAACGAATGATTTTCAAACTAAAACCCTTAATGAGGCCATGAAAGAGGCTGGATGCGGTTTCCCAGGCAACAGAGGAAAACCTTCTTGTCCTTATATGGAACAGGAAGCGGCTACGGCTACGTACACGGCTCGGGGCTCCGTGAAGACGTCCGTGTGGATGTGCATCATCAGGTCGCCTCCCGCCGTGTACTCCATCACGAAGCAAACGTGCTCCGGCGTCTGGAAGCACGCAAACAGGTTGACCAGGAAGGGGTGGTGAGACACGTTGACCGTCTCAAAGATGCGCTTCTCACACATCAGACTGGGAGCGAAGAGAGAAAAGCATCAGATGAGCTGCAGCGCTGCAGGCGAGGAGATCAGATCCGTCACGCACCTGTCCACCTCATCCCGAGCGATGATGTCACCTTTTTTCAGGGCTTTGATGGCGTACATGGTGCCCGTCTTCCTGTACTCCGACAGCAGCACCTGCAGAAACACAAACGCTCTTCTTTAACCCTTTATAGGACGCTCAGTGAAAACACACATTTCCAGCCAATAGTTTCATTTTAAACCTTTATAACATTCAGAATAAATGGATATTTTGATGGAAAAATGTATGTCCATGTAATAAAAACTTTCCCGAATAAATTGAGAAAAATAACAAAAGTGTTTCTAGAAGAAATTGATGAGAAACATTTTATTTGGTCCAACAAAACCTTAGAGGCATTAATGATACTGGAACGGACAGGTTTTAGTTTAGAAACCTAAATATCATTTTTAACGAGAATTATTAACTTTGTAACTTTATTTTCCATCCATTCATGTCCTGACACGCTTAAACCCTAGTGGGGTCGACCACTTTACTTTTTAACTTTTAATTAACTTTTGACCTTTTTTTTCTTGACTTTTTAACTTT